GAAGACAAGAAGATGACGCGAGGATGGATGCAACAGTGTACGGAGTATACAATGTATATAGATTGAGAGACGTGCGTGTGCGTAAGCACGTGTCTCTCTCGGTAAATTATAAACCTCTGAAGGAAAAAAAAAAAAAAAAAAAAGAAATTGGCCGATACATCAAGCACCCTCCGTCTCTTGGTCCCTCGTCGCGCGCATACCTAATGTACCCGCTATACCGGAATCGTGAGCTAACGCGCCCCCGTAATATACTGCACGCGTATACATACAGCCCAGGGTAGTTAGTTACACTACTTATTCATCGGCGTCCGGGGAATTCGTGGGTACATTTACGAGGGACGACGACGCTACGTCAGACTCTTCCGGAGAGCATAAGGCTTTCTTTCGCTCCCCTTTCATATTTTTTTCCTCCCTTCCTTCGGGGGCCGCCTGTGTGTATTATATACGTACACCCAACTCGAAATTTTTTACGGCCGTTCTTGGCTCGGTGCGCCAGAGCGGCAATCTCATTTTACTCGGGCATATATGTACATACGTGTACGAGGGAGCGCTGTAAACGCATTTTTAAAGTGCAATCAATCGGTACAGGAGGATAATAAAACGGGGAGATTGGGGAAATCGAAAATTCATCGCTTCGGGCTGGGAAATTGCAGCTGCGCTCAAAGTACTTGGGGGGGGGGGGTAAAAAAAAGAAAATTTCCTCCCCGTACCTATGTACTCTTTGTTTTTGAATCCCACCATCGGTGGTGCGATTAGAATTGGCAATTTGAAAAATTAAGTCACCACCAATGAGAAATTAATCGAGCTGCACTTTTTTTTGGAACAATTGTACACGTAAAATGTATACAACACGCGCAACGACTGACCCGCGTTTGTGTTCAAGTTTGATGAATTGCCGGGGAGAAGGAGCTTGCATCCGGTTAACTTCCTTGCTCAGGGGAGGGGCTGAAACTATTTGTACGTATACAGTAACGATGAAATTGAAACCGGCGCGCGGAGCTTCATTTCGACTTGATTAATTTTTAAGAAAGATATAGGTGCTCATCCGGGGCTATCGGTGACGCAACGTGTCGAGGAGAGGCAGGCAAAAGCCGAAAGGCATGTTATTTACAGAGGGCGGCCTTTGAATGAGGATGAAATTATTCTTTTTATATGCGCCGAATGGGAAGAGAAAAAAAAAAAAAAAAAAAAAAAACAACGTCCTCTCGAGCGAGTGTATACATCCAAGTGGGTGTACGTGTATACATAATATATTCTGTATGAATAATGATATACGATTGATGATGTCTTACGAATTCCCTTTACTATACATCACCCACGTACAAGTGAAAAAAATTCTTGGCGACTCGTGGCGGAAGGGAGAAGCGACGGCAATGCGCTTTCGCAACGCGTGTACACACACACACACAGAATCCTCTCTCACGCGGTTGGATGAATAAATAAATTAATGCAGGTTGGTAGGGAACGCGCTATATCGGTGTACGCTTGTTGTACATAATGTATACTTTGAAAGCAATGTTTGCATATAAAGCCACCGCGACAATTGTTTACCGTGCAACTGGAGCTGCGATTGAGGAAATTGAATGATTATTTTTTGTTTTGGTAAAATTACACACCCTTGACTCTGTGTAAATAAACTGCAAGAAGAGAAAAAAAAAAAAATAAAAAGAAATGACCATTATTCCCACCAATTCACTTGCACGCGTTGTAAGTATACGTGCATCGGGTGGCAGGGCAAAAGAGAGAGGTGGACAGCAGCACAAAAGCCCTCGGATCTCGATAGGGGGGGCCTCCCGATACAATCAACTACTTAGGATGCCTGGCTTCTCCACACGCAGATGTATGTTTTCTTGTATACATGCAAGCACTCATTAAAGCGCATTATATACCACCCCCTCCTCCACGGCTATACCGAGTGCACGCAACAACAACAGCAGTTGTACGTATATATAAGTAACTCTCTCTCTCTCTCTAGTGTTGTTTTTGTCAAAAATTTTCGACAACGATTCATCTTGTTGGAAACATTTTTTAGACCAGACAATCCTATGGTTCGGCAGTGTGGGTGTCGGTTATACCATTTGTCAATTGCTATACGTATACCTTATACCACCCGCGGATGTCGAATTCAAAAAATCCAAAGCCGATCTCTCGCAGCAAAGTCGGAAAGAAAAGAAAGATGGATTTTCCAGCGTGAAAAGAAAAGAAAAAAAAAAAAAAAAAAAAAAAAAAAAAAAAAAAAAAAAAAACAAACAAACAAACAAAGCGAGAGATCCCCCGAGGAGAGGTAGTAAGTATGTATAGGGTCGTCGGCATGTGTGTCCGGTATCGATTGTCACGGCGACGCTCTCCTCCAGCTCGGCGGTACGTATGCGTGTACATATTATATACATACACGCAGGTAAATACCCAGTGTCGGTCTCGTTTTGATGGACGGTATAATGGCTCGGTAAATCAATGCCCCCTCGGTAATTGTCAATGTGTCGGTCCGTGCCGCCACCACAGCGCGCACCGATGGTACATTATTGTTGCCGCTGCCGCTGTTGTTTTTGTCCCTGTACACACCCACACGCGTATACGTACGATGCCACGGTGGTACGAGAGCAGGCGGTCGCGAAATTAATAGGAAAAGAAAAACTACTCTCTCTCTCTCTACTTGCTGCCCGAGTTGCTGCCGTTGCTGCAGGCTGTGGCCCTTTTGATACATATATGTATATACATATCTTTTCTCCGATTGCTCGACGCGTTTTTCCCTCCAGATGCTGATATTTGATATTTTGAAACTCGATAGATGTATATAATATGGCCTGTCGAAAATTTCGGGCTCTGGTTTTGAATGCGCCGTATCGTCAATAATATCTAGTATCATCGAGCCTTATACTATATAGGCGGGTACGGGGTATACGGATGAAATTAAAGCAGAGCCACCTATACGTTTGTTATTTCTAAAACTCCTCTATTATCGAAAGTGTGCGAGCGTATAATATATACAGGGAGCACTCGGAGCCACCATCAGCAGTACCGAAAAAGTAATTGGGTTGTCAAAATAAATCCATAATGTTGACGCGACCCGGTGGGAATAGAGCCCCTCCCCCGCGCACGCGCTTACCAATTTGTATATACGGTATAGCTATACCGCGCGCGGATAATGCATATACATATACGCCCAAATTCCATTGTACGGGTATTATCCGTGCTCTCTTTTGTTTAAAAATAATGGCCCTCTACGGCCTCTCCGAATCACCTGTACTCCCCCCCCCCTCTCTCTTTAATTTTCCAGACAAGAAGATGGATAGATCCACGGTCAGATAGTTTGCCGACACGTTGAATCTTCTACCAAGAATTCGACTAATTTGCCGGGAATTTTTATTACGCGACCCCCCCCCCTCCTGCTCGCGACGAGGAATTGGGCAACTACTATGTATACATATATTTATCTTGTATATGCGCACACACACCATGCACTTGTAATTAGACGAACTATTCCTTAGTTTCGCGGGCATTAACGAACTTGGGAAAAATTCGCCGTCCGCAGAATTTTAGAATTTCCTCGAGTCGGTGCATATACCATGTATGTATACACGTATAGAGCAAACTCTGGGGGAAGGGGTGGGAGGGCGATAAATCTTCTTTTCCCGCGCAGCGAGAACATCCGAGAGGGAAGAAAAAACCACGCGCGGAGAGTTGCGTTACAAGTTGGCTCGTGCAGTAGTAAAAGACGTACAAGTTTATCCAATAATAAAAAAGAAGAGGAGTGGGTGGGTGGTGAGGATATATAGGATTTTTCGGGCACGGAGCGATTATATTATATGTATATGTATTGTGCACGGGCACATAGGTACCAAGGACGGCACTCACGAGTAACTGATAACTGTCGTGGGATACATTACCACCCGCGCTTCCAGTGCCCCCACACCCGGAAGCTGTTCTCAATTGGTTGCATGAAACTTTTTGATGGTGTACACCGATAGCTCGAAAGTTCCGCGCGCTCTCCAACTTTTGCGCGCTCGGCTGCTCTCCCGTTTGGATCCTCCTCCTCCGCTTTGTCTTCAAATTACAATTATCTTACGCCAAATGCATCGCGCGTTTATTGCTCTGCCATTTCCCTCCCTCCCTTTCTTCTCTTCTATGCAGCAGCACGCCGTCGCAGAAATGTTCGGTGTATTGTATACTTATATACTCGGCGAGCGCCCGAGTTTTTACCTTATGCGTGTGTATTGATTTTTTTTTTGCTGCCGTTTGTACACGTGTGTGCAAGTATACGTATATGTACGAGCGCGAGCACTTAGCTGCATGCCACTTTAAACGTCGTAAAAAATTCACGAGCCAAGGCTAGTTTGAATTCACCGAGTTTACTGCAGTGTGAGTGTATTATGTGCTTCAAAACTTGCACCGTCTTTACTCGTGAATATTATCAATTGACCTCACTTATACACCTCTATTACTTAATTTGGTAAGTATATATATATATAAATATACACCTGTCGAAAAAAAAAAAAAAAAAGTTTTTGTAAGTTATAACGTATATGATAAAACACATCAACTGGTGGTATATTTATGATGCGCCTGCGTACGTGTAGATGGATCTTAATTTACATTCTTTCACACGGCTATTTTGTATAAAATCCTTTTTTTTTTTCTGTTGGTTTTCGTATCAATGGGGAACCGGTGTCTATTCAAAAAATATCACCGGTACTTGTAAAGAGTAAATTTTTTAAAATTTAATTTATTTAAATAGCTCAGTATACGGGTCACAACCTCAAATTTTCTTTACTGGTCCGTCACTCGTAAACCAATCAACTGCGCAATATTAGTGCTTATTTCAATATATATTAAATATATATATNGTACATAATGTATACTTTGAAAGCAATGTTTGCATATAAAGCCACCGCGACAATTGTTTACCGTGCAATGTTGTGTGGAAAAAAAAAACATGGGAGAATTGGATACATCTTGAACCAAGGGGGAGAAGAGCAACAACAACTGGAAGACCAACTGACCTCGATACTGAAGTAGCCCCTGTCGACGTAATCCCCGAGGAAGAGGTATTTTGTGGACGAGGGCGGTCCCCCCACTTCGAACAGTTTCATTAGATCGTAAAACTGTCCGTGAATGTCGCCGCACACTGTAACGTCAAACATAAGTATAATCTCTTAATCATACAACGGCTAATCGATGATCTGCGCTCTGCGTGTTTTATCGTATATAATTATTATATACGACATAATAAATAACAAAATGGATAAAAAAACAGTGATGGCTTACCGGTGACGGGGGCCTCGATGTCGATCATCGTTCTCTCCTGGCGCAGGAGCTGGGCGCCCTCGTTGATGATGCGCAGCGCCGCCTGCTCGTCGATCCTCCCTTCGAGTATGAAGTGCTGCTTGAGGACGTCCGGGCGGGGCTTCTGGGTGCGCTGGTCGAAGACCTCGGCCACCGTGAGTTTGCGCGACGGCGGGAACGGCACATCTGAGCCAACATACAAACGCCATCGTATTTATACAGGCACGCGTACTCGATATTGTTTTTACGTGCAGCTGTACACGTGCACGTGCACATCATCATTTTGGACAAATGTGCGGGATAAGTGCAGGTATGGCTTAATTTCAATAAGAGGGCGTGACTTGGACGTTTTTTAGAAATTGAATATTTGTGGGATCGGGGTATCATTGGGCAATGTGTATAGTGACTGGTTTACAATTATTGTTGATACCCTCTTATTTTTCGAGGTGTGCCAGAAATAGCACCGAGGCTCAAATTGCCCACTCTGATTGACATAATATTGCGCTACACCTTTTCTACACGTGTTGTTTGAATCAAAACAGCCTGACCCATTTCAGTTATTGCCTTTCACAATTTTTCTCGCCATACGTTTTTTTTTTTTTTTTTTACTACTCACAATATCCTAAATGCAATAAAAACATGTATCACATGCTCGCGAAATCAGTGAAGAAACAATACAGTAGCGGCTCGCGAGATAAGCCCGCGTTACGTTTCTCACCGCTATATTGACACAAAGTTAAACTGGATTAGCCTGCTGCAGTTGCAGCGCGTCTATGTGTATTCATATGTAAATGTGTGTAAGTAACACACGCGCGCACACGTAGACATGTACATTTAGAAGCTCGGCTTGATCCGCAATTATTCGCAATCGCTGAGGGATAATCCTTTTCGTATTCTTTGATTGATACCAACACCAGACGACACCAGAGATGAGATATACAGACACTCGACGGCTCAACAGGTGATGTGGTTGGTGTACATGTACACATATATCTAACTTATTGGTCTTCTGGGACTTGGAGAGAATCGATGCAGTCGTATACAACCAATTCTGTTTACTGCATCGACTCTTTCTTTATTAATGTGCATTTTTTTTTTTTTTTTTTTTTTTTTTTTTTTTTTTTTTTTTTTT